CAACAACAACTGGCGGCGATGATGATGAACCAGCAGCGGGCGAACGGGAACGAGAGGTTCCAGCCCATGATGTACGCCCGCCCGCCGCCCGCGGTCAACTACATGCCGCCTTACCCTTACTACCCGTACCCTCCTCCGCCGAATGACAACTACAGCACCGCCTTTAGTGATGAGAACACCTCCAGTTGCAGCCTCATGTAAGGAGTTCCCGGCGGCGGTCTCCGGCGAGCCGGCGGCCGGAGTGGTTAGTGTTATAAAAACCCTTCGCTCCAAATGGTTAAAAATTATTAGCTCAAAGCTAGCTGTTTTATGCCATATTATACAAGAAAATGAATTTTCCATTTCCTATTTACTTGCTAATCTCTAGGGGTTCTTTTTTTTATATAATTAATTTTTATTTTTGCCCCATTTGTTTTTTTTATTCTCAAGTTTGTTTAATTGCCCTTCAAATCTTAAGGTTTGGTTTGATTAGTGGCTTAATGATGGGGAGCATCAAATTTGAATTGATTTGATAGGGCATTAGTGAGTGGGACATTTGGGATGTGTCTCTTTGGTCAATGGATGTTTGTATATTGTGCTTATAAAAAAGTGAGAAAAAAAACAACAAAAATCTTAAAAATTTGAAAGAGTTGACTAAAAACATTGGATTTCTTTTTTTTATTTGAGAGGGAAAGACATATACTTTGAAAGAAGAACAAAATTCTCCTGGCAATTTTTTAATTTTGAGAATATTACAACTAAACATCGTTATTAGGTTTTTTTATAATGTTGAATTGTTTAGAATAAATTAAAAAAATTCTTATAAATAATTTTGAATCATATAATTTTCTTCTAATAAAACAAGATTAAAACTACGGTCCGGTTCTAGTGACACTGGAGTACGGTGCCACTCCAGTGCCACTGGCATTTTAGGGCACCCCTAAATATGTTCGCAAAATTGACGGTTCCTATCCCCCATAACCCACCCCCTAAACCTCCCATCCTACCCCACCCCTGCACCCCATCCAACCCCGCAGTAAGCCCCCCACAAAATGTGTGGCTCCACACATTTTGTGGGGGGCTTACGGCGGGGTTGGGGTGGCCGGGTGGGGGTGCAGGGGCGGGGGTAGGGTGAGAGGTTTAGGGGGTGGGTTACGGGGGGTATGAACCGTCAATTTTACAAATGGAGCACCGGAGGTGCTCTAAAACCCAATGGCACCGCTAGTGGCACCGAACTCCGGTGTCACTAGAATCCCACCGTTAAAACTATTGGTATATCCATTTTATGGAAAAATAAAATCCCGAATTTATATAACACGTTATCCATGTAGCATATGATTTTTGTTGTGACAACCACAGACCAATTTTCCAATCGCAACACGAAAAGTGAAATAAAGGCATTCTACTTATTAGATGTTTGCCAAGCCATATGACGTGACTTATTTTATAGAACTTTGTTCTCAAAAAAGACGTTTAACAAACTTAAATAAGACATCTTATAAAGCAACTTTTAAAAAAATCTACGCCTTCCGTTACATAAAACGTTTTCACCCCAATTTTTTGCATATTCACAGGTTTTCACACCTAAAATCTTATTTCTCTTTTGTTACTGGTAGAAACTGTTTTGAGGATATTTTAGATATTTTAGGTGAAATAGAAGTATTCAACGAGGTGCGCAAAAGATTCTAGCAGAAATATTTTGTAAAACGGAGAAAATATTAAATTCTAACTTATCTTGATATTCAATCATCTTTTTTATTAATTGGGGTTCTTTCGAAATCAAACTTAATGTTTTAAAATTTTAATGACTTAAAAAAATTAGTTGTCATTTTTCTTTTTTGCAGGAAGCATAACTTAGTTAGTCGATAAGAAATGCAAAGGGGGTAATATTCCTATTTGATTCTTGACAACGACGATAAAAGATAACTATATGTAGCATGAGATTCTAGCATGTCACCTTTCACACTCTCTATGCGTTAATTTTATACTTCATAATTAAATTTCAATTTACTTTCTTTCACGCTATTGTCAGATACCGGGATACTAGGACAAAATTCATTCTTTTGAAGTATGAAAGCAGTGGGCCAACTGAGAACAGGTTGTATTACTGATAAAGGCCAGCTTCCGAGCCCGTGGGCCGAAAAGGCCCATAGGACAGCTTTGCTCCTCTGGCCCATATCATTTCCGTTGCAGCTTCTTGGGGTTCCAGAGATTGGGCCTCCAGGCTCACTAAATCAAGGCATGCACCTATTGTCCGGACCAATATATCCATTACCTATATACATTTTCTTAGTGATTGGAGGTATGCGGGACGTCCAATCCTCTTTTGGTGTGTTCACGTGGTGGGGTGGACTCGAGCATAGATCTTCCCTGAACCGAGTGAAGCTGCTCAGCTCGGTATGACCGAGCTGAGCTCGCCGCCTCGAGCCAAGTCCACCGGACCGAGCCCCATGACGGAGCCGAACCTGTGGGACCCGTTTGAGCTTACCTGTACGGTGGGGTCTGTTCTTGGGGCATACTCTCAGCATGACATGGGATTACCTTCCGTCACAAGTACATTTTTAGCTAAAATATGAACAACAGAATTTAAAAAATGTTCGACAAAATGAACAAGAACTGAATAAGATATCACTTTTGTTATACAATAATACTAATAGTACTTTTTGTAGTATTGTTTATGGTAGTGTTTCATTATTAGTCAGCTTTCTAATCCTATTTGTGGTAGATGTTGTATGTTAGTTAGTTTTCATTCTCTATTTCTAGTTGTGTTAGGAGTCTCTCTTATATATACTCTATCATGTACTACATAATTCAAAGAGCAATATTATTATTCCAATATTTCATCATGGTATCAGAGTCACCGCTCTTGGTGACCTAAAAAAAAGTTCTTTGCTCCCACCGCCGCCGCCAGTAATTCCGGTGACGGTGGCTCCACCCTATTCACCTCTATTTTCTTTTTCTTCTTTATCCTCAAATCAACTTCTCCATTCAAATGAAAAAAAAAGAAAAAAAACCCTGTTGAAATCACACAAAAAAATACCATCAAAAGAGGAACTTCTCTCTTGTCATCCCCATTGTTCTTCAAAAAAACCTCAACTCCTCACAAACTCTCTCAACTCATCCTATCTTCTCAAAAAGGAAAAAAAATGATTGTTGTTTCTCTCCAAATCACCATATCAAAATCTCAGACCCAAATCTTTTTTCATCCCCCATTCTCTACCCACTTTTTCTCTCTAAAATCACTCATTCTAATCATCAACCTTTCTTCTTTTTCTCTTCTGTTGAACCAATAAAAGTCCAAAGTAAATTAGCACAAAAGCAAAACCAAGAGGGGAAGTAGTGAAAGAGGAAAAAATACCTCTACAACTCACCCCTTCAAGAAGGAAATAGGGCATTGCATGGATCCAAGAAAAGACAAAAAATGTCAAGGATTTTCAGTCAAACAGGCACCTCCAGTAGCCTTCTCTATTCTTCTTCGACGTCAGCAGCTATAAGAGCACGTCAACCTTCACTCTTCTTCATCGACGTCAGCAGCTACTAGCGCACGTCAATTTCTCTCTTCTCCAACGACGTCAGCAGCCACCGGCGCGCGTCACACTTCTCTCTTCTCCAACGACGTCAGCAGCCACCGGCGCGCGTCAGACTTCTCTCTTCTCCAACGACGTCAGCAGCCACCGGCGCGCGTCACACTTCTCTCTTCTCCAACGACGTGAGCATCCACCGGCGCATGTCAGACTTCTCTCTTCTCAAAGTTTCTAATTTCGAGCTAGTGTCCAAACTTCCTCTTGCTTCAGCCAGAGTTCAGCTTGAGGGGGGATATTAGACAATAATACTAATAGTACTTCTTGTAGTATTGGTTATGGTAGTGTTTCATTATTAGTCAGCTTTCTAATCCTATTTGTGGTAGATGTTGTATGTTAGTTATTTTTCATTCTCTATTTCTAGTTGTGTTAGGAGTCTCTCCAATATATACTCTATCATGTACTACATAATTTAAAGAACAATATTATTATTCCAATATTTCATCAACTTTGTTTTTTATTGACTCACATGATTTCATATACGTAATCTTATACCACGCACTTTGTTTTATAATGTTAAATTTTCTTAATCTCGTATTCGTATTGTGTTTCTATTGTAACTGTGTCGATGTAACAACGACATTGAAAGGATATCCAAAATTGAAAAACGAGTGCATAGACTTTATTAAAAATAGAAATATGTATTTTAGCCAATTTTTTGAAAGGAAAAATTTGATGAAATTATTTTCTAATGAAAAAAGAGGAGAAAAACAAAAAAAATGTAAAATAGAGAAATACCATTTAAATATGAAAATTTTCAAGATCAAGTTCACAGCTGGAGCTCTGCTTCCACGCCCCCACTCTCAACCCCATTTTTTTTATTTATTGGGTAGATAAAACTCAATCCCCAAAAATTGATGCAACACATAATTAATTAATGAAATACTCCGATCCATTATTGAATTCGTGTTTTTCATGTGGTCTAAGAAAATGGGGATGTGTCAAATTATATATGGCGGTGTTGTGCAAATTGCTATGTAATGATGATATGATTTTTGAAATTTGAAATAAGAGTGTTAAACCTATATAAGAGCATTTTTTTTTGGACCGATGATATGATTTTTGGACCGATGAAATTTGAAATAAGAGTGTTAAAATTTTTTTAATAAAATAGTATTATACTCGTCCTTTAAAGATATTTTTGTTTTTCTTTTCGGGACGTTCAAAAAAAATTTAATGTTTCCAATCTTGAAAATTTGCGTATTTCAACATCCTTAATCGCACGATTTAATTTTTTGTGAACTGTGTCAAACCTATATAAGAGCATTTTTTTTTAGTCGGAGAGAGCAGTTAGGGATAATAATATATGGGAGTCACCGGCCGAAGTAGGTGGCCGATAGAGGCGGGTTGTGGTGGCAGTAGCTAACATTTGAAGGAGATATCAAAACTTCTAACTTCATGAGATATAAACATGGTGTTTAATAGAGTTGTGATAGTTATACAACAATATTATATACTCCCTCCGTCCAGAAATAATCTTCCCACTCTACGTTTTTATCAATACTCTTCCAAAAATACCCCTCATTTTTTATCTCTCGCCAACCTCTCATTTACGGGCTCTCTCTCTTTCACCAACCTCACCCAACCTCAATCACTCCCTTTTTATCTTATCTTTTGAGATTTTCAATCTCAACTCCAAGATCTGCAATGGAATCGCCTTCTCCTCCACGATCTGCAATGGAATCGTTGGATTTATGTTTTGAATCTTTTGTTCCTGAGACGGAATTTCAAGATTGTGGAGGTGAGGACATGAATTTCATCTCTGATGACACGGAGGAGGACGAGGTCATCGTCATCCATAGCGAGGACGATGCTGCCGATGTTGCCCCGGTCAGAGACATGAAGGACGTCATCGACCTTGAATCACAGAAAGACAACATTTTTCTTCATGGGAGCGAGGAGGGGGACTTAATTCTTCTCGACACTGAGATTGATGACCCAGAGGGATGTGAAAAACGTGGGATTGAGCATTCTCAGGTGCTCTATTCACGCATGCATCTACACATCGATATGCTGAACATCTTGCTTCCAAGCCCTGATCCAAATTTTTGGACTTCAATGTACAAGTGGGGAAGTTCCTGTCACCTTTTTTAACTTCAATTACTGTGATTGTGGTCTTGTGTGTGTTTAAGCTTTGTGGTCATGTGTGTGCTTAAGCTTGTTATTCAATGCTGCCTCTGGGAAGTTGTTGACCACTATCTGTGATGAATGTCTGAGAATATATTGCTACTGTGATGAGCATTATTGTACCACAGTGGTGTCTCTGAGTAGTGAAGGTGTTACACCTTTGTGGTCTTGTGTGTGTTTAAGCTTGTTATTCAATGCTGCATCTGGGAA